GGCAATGATCTAATGCAATAGTTGTACCATAGTACAATGCAACCACACTTCTAGAAAACCATGTTTGTGATATTATATGACCCAAAATTGTGCACAAATACTTTTTTCTTAATCAATCTAAAAAGTAATTAATTAATATGCACTGTATATATAGTCAAAATGAGTCACCTCCAACAATGAATCTAAACCATCAATGTGATGAATTTCAAGATGTAGGCCTTTATGAATTGAAAATCATTTTTTTCTTTTTTTAATATTGTTAATCTAATGATAATAAAGTTGTCTAAAAAATTTGGAAAAAAAAATATCACTTTTAAGGCTTAAATCTAAACATCTCACCAAAATAGATATCTTTTGTTAATTGAGCCAAACAAATACTTTCTAGGTTGTTTATTTCAAAATTTTATTTTTTGTGATTGTTCTTTAGAATGAAAGGAGTGTATATTGTAAAATTTGAATCAAACAAATAGCCCTAACCTGATATTTTATTATACAACCGTCAAATGAAATCACTCCCCTACACACACACACACACACATACATATATATATATATATATATATACACCCAAGATCTATTTTTCGAGCATATATTCAATCAATTATTAAAACAGTACAACAATAATTAATTTCTAAACTTGCTAATCATATAACATAAATAGACCGACACACATATAAACAATAAATGGGGAGAAATATCTATAACTAACCAGTTAATATAAATACCAGTCCTTAATTTTACACAGAAAATAAACTTTACTTGCACAATACTTGCTGGTAGATTTATTACAAAAGGAAGAAAACTTACATCATACACTTGCAGTAACTAGCAAACAACTTCCACTCTTCAGGATAAAAACTTGGCAAAGTATGAAAATTACAATCACACATCACACCTTACAATCACTCAATCTCGGAGTGGCTTTCGACACACCACCCGATATACAGTATTTGTTTACAATAAAGACTGAGTATAGACAGAGAGATTGTATTAGAGAGAGAACAGAGACTGTATTAGAGAGAAAACATAGACTTCTAAGAGATTTCAAATGAATATTAGATATTGCAGAAGAAGGAGAGTCAACAGAGGAATAGGATTAAAAATACCTTTTGGGGTGAGTGGAAGCTTCAAGCTCCGTAATGGATGGAAGACAGTGGACAATAGAAGAGAAAGGCTAGAGAGAGGAGAGTAACTAGGAGAGAGAGAATTCAGACTACTTCTTCCGATGCTCTTTCAAGTGGGAGAGTCCCCCTTTTATAGGAGTCGGACCTCAAATTTTATAAATTGCTTTTTATAATTGGAGGCTACATCAAAAGAGTGAGCAGTCCCGTTCAATGACTAAAAGGTCTGGCACAATGTTTTGAAAAGACTAACAGTGAAACAGTAGCCAGGAAAGATCTGTCAACAGCATCTTGCACAATAAATAGTAAAGTCGACAGTATAGTAAAAAGTCGTGTCGGCAGCAGCTTGTACAGTAGGGTTTGTCGATAGCAGTATATAGGAACAGTAAAATATTTTGGTGACTTGACTGGTGGTTGGCTAGTGGCAGGCAAGATGGTCTCAATATTATGGCAGTTTTCAAAAAGCGTCTTCTTTTGGCATTATCGAGTCTTCTGGTGACAACTGTTCTTTTGGAAGGTTTTATTAATGTTGGGTCGGTATTCCGGGCTTCTAAGGAAAATCTATTTTTGGTTGTGCAATCTTCATTTTCTGTAGTAAAATCTTCATCATTTGTTGAAGTTGACATCGCTTCTGCTTCTTCAAACATCTGTAGCAGCTGGCTTTTTTAGTTCTTCTTTGGTGCCTTTTGGATTCGGTTGTTTCATCTTGCTTATGTAAACAACAAGATTATTTTCCTTCTTTTGTTGAACAGGGGAAAGGATTTTTTTTAATTTGATATTTTCGGGATCTATTGCAGTATTCTCATATACATCCCACCATTTTATATATATTTGTTTTCTTAATTTTGGGATATATTCTCAGTTGTGGGTATAATCCTCAATTATTGTATAGGACCATTTCATGATCCATGGAATTTGATAAAAAGCCATAAAGTATAAATGAAGGTCTATTTGGGGGTTTTTATAATTATATTTAGAAAATTTTTGTTGGGACATCTGTATTTTGTCTGGTAAAATCTCTGATCCAGATCCCCAAATCTGAAACTAGTTTTTAAACCAGTTTGGAAATCCAGTTACTACTGGTACTTTTATCTGTAGAAACCAGGTGTGAGAATTATTGCTATTTCGGAGTGAAAAAGCTTTATGCCCGGCATCAATAATTCTAACACCTGGTTTCTACAGATAAAAGTACCAATAGTAACTAGATTTCCAAACTGATTTAAAAACTAGTTTCAGATTTGGGGATCTGGATCAGAGATTTTACCAAACAAAATACAGATGTCCCAACATAAATTTGCTGAATATAATGATAAAAACCCCCAAATAGACCTTCATTTACACTTTATGGCTTTTTATCAAATTCCATGGATCATGAAATGGTCCTATGCCATAACTGAGGATTATACCCACAACTGGGAATATATCCCAAAATTAGGAAAACAAATATATATAGAATGGTGGGATGTATATGAGAATACTGCAATAGATCCCGAAAATATCAAATTAAATAAAATCCTTTCCCCTGTTCAACAAAAGAAGGAAAATAATCTTGTTGTTTACATAAGCAAAGATGAAACAACAGAATCCAAAAGGCACCAAAGAAGAACTAAAAAAACCAGCTACTACATATATTTGAAGAAGCAGAAGCGATGTCAACTTTAACAAATGATGAAGATTTTACTACAGAAAATGAAGATTGCACAACCAAAAATAGATTTTCCTTAGAAGCCCGGAATACCGACCCAACATTAATAAAACCTTCCAGAAGAACAGTTGTCACCAGAAGACTCGATAATGCCAAAAGAAGACGCTTTTTGAAAACTGCCATAATATTGATACCATCTGCCTGCCACTTGTCTGCCACTAGCCAACCACCAGTCAAGTCACCAAAATCTTTTACTGTTCCTAGATACTGCTACCGACAAACCCTACTGTACAAGCTGCTGCCGACACTACTTTTTACTATGCAAGATGCTATCGACACTATGTGTTATTGTGCAAGATGCTGTTGACAGATCTTTCCCGACTACTGTTTCACTTTTAGTCTTTTCAAAACACTGTGCCAGACCTTTTAGTCATTCAATGGAACTGCTCACTCTTTTGACGTAGCCTCCAATTATAAAAAGCAATTTATAAAATTTGAGGTCCGACTCCTATAAAAGGGGGACTCTCCCACTTGAAAGAGCATCAGAAGTAGTCTGAATTCTCTCTCTCTCCTAGTTACTCTCCTCTCTCTAGTCTTTCTCTTCTACTGTCCACTGGCTTCCATCAATTACGGAGCTTGAAGCTTCCACTCACTCCAAAAGGTATTTTTAATCCTACTCCTCTGTTGACTCTCTTTCTTCTGCAATATCTAATATTCATCTGAAATCTCTTTGAAGTATCGGTTTTCTCTCTAATACAGTCTCTGTTCTCTCTCCAATACAATCTCTCTGAAATCTCTCTAAAATCTCTCTGAAACCTCTATGTCTATAATCAGTCTTTATTGTAAACAAATATTGTATATCAGGTGGTGTGTCTAAAGTCACTTCGAGATTGAGTGATTGTAAGGTTTGATATGTGATTGTAATTTTCATACTTTGCCAAGTTTTTATCTTGAGGAGTGGAAGTTGTTTGCTAGTTACTGCAAGTGTATGATGTAAGTTTTCCCCCTTTTGTAATAAATCTACCTGCAAGTATTATGCAAGTAAAGTTTATTTTCTGTGTAAAATTAAAGACTGTCATTTATATTAACTGGTTAGTTATAGATATTTCTCCCCTTTTATTGTTTATATGCGTATCTGCCTATTTATGTTATATGATTAGTGAGTTTAGAAATTAATTATTGTTGCACTACACTGTTTTAATAATTGATTGAATATATGCTCGAAAAATAGATCTTGGGTGTTTTGGTACCAGAGCCATTAGAATCATAGTGGTGAACTGTAGAATGATAATACTATCATAAAAGTTAACAACTTAATAAAATTTAGCATTTAAAGATAGGTCCGAGAGTTGAAACCAAAGTCGTCTTGACCGTTACTGCTGTGAAAGGCCAGAAGGGCCGCTGAGGCATACAGGTCGTAAGAGATTGACTCGTGTATTCATCCGCTATCTTAAATATGGAAAATTTTATTAGGACGCTATCCAATAGGGCAACATCATCATCCAATAGTACACTTAGAATAAAAAATAAAGAGGAAATAATCATTGATAACATTGAAAAACAAATACAAAATTGGAACATATGCAAGGTTCCTATAACTTATATATATAAAAAGGCAATATTTGAATTTAAAACTAGCTATGCCATAAAAATTGTTGAGCAACGTATATCAGTAGATAACAACCAGGAAAGTTTTCAGTCGTTATCAGAGAAAATGATTAAAAAACATAGGACTAAAGAATACAAATATTTACACATAGGATTAATTCAAATAGCAATTAAACCCTTAACTAGACTAGGTTTAAATAACTCTATATTATTATGCCTCCGTGGTAGTAGACATAATAAATTTTCAGACTCTCTGCTAGGAGTAGTTGAGTCTAGCTTTTGTAATGGTCCTATATATTTTAACTGTTTTCCCAACTTTTCAGTCTCCTTAACTGATCCCAACCTTCTTAAAGTTCTAACCTTAAATCTCAAAACACAAAGGTTCGACATGAATCCTGATTCTCAGAACATTGCTTTAATAAATAGGATATGCTACAAGGTAATGAACACCCTCAGCCCAAATGTCCTTCACATGGATACCTAAGGACAAACAACATTCTTGCAGACTAATATAGAAAAATCTCATACGGTTATACCCAAATCTATAACATGGTCTCAAATCATGCTTCCTGATAATTGGACAACACAAAATGAAAACCAACACTATAGAACTCCTGTTAACCGTGAACCAGACCAAATAATAGAATACCCTGATGGTAATACTGAAATCCAAATTAACTCTAATCAAAGGACCAGATTAAATATTTCAAAGGAATCTGTAAGAAGCCCTAGTAAAATACCTACCCCTTCTTAGCATTCTACCTCTTCTATTCATGAAAAACCTATAATAGAAGAATTAACTAGGACAAATAGTAATATTCATATACCCGTCTATAAAGTTTATGAGCCAGATTCATCTAGTCATGAACCAACATTTTCGGATCTCGATTTTAATGTTCTAACTTTACAAAAAGAAGAAAAATTTAGGATGGATACTGAATTCCTCAAAAATGACTATCTTTCTAAGGATAATAAACAAATAAGAGATTGGCATCTGGCAGAATTTCCAAAGGAAATGTTAGATGCCCTTTATAAAAGACATAACAAATTTATAAAACAATCTAAACAAAATATAGGGTATTTTATATGGTTGAAAGCAACCTTGAATGAGAAAAATATTCCAGTTTCTGATGTTGGGCTCCACACATTGGAAAGCCAATATGAAGTCTTCCATACAACTGAGGGAGAAGAAATACAAAGCAAACACCCTCTTGAGAGAAGCCTTCAAATCAAAGGAATATCCAAAGAGAAACCTGAAACAAAAGCTTCTCCATATAAAATAATTTTAAAAGAAAATGAACATCATAGTCATAAGATAGATATAATCCCTCATATCCTGGAACAAAATAATTATACAAACTTGTATTTACAGTCTATTGGTAAACAAACCACTAGAATTGAAAATATAGTAAATAAAACCAAAATTACTCCTAAAGAAGAGAAAAAAAAAGCTGTTATGTTCAAACCCCCTCCAGAGATTAACAAAGGAAGATTCAGCTTAGAAGGAACTAAGAAAAAGGAAGAGAACCAAGAACTGATAGATGAATTGGTTAAAAAATTATCAAAGCTGAATATAAAGGAAGATAGGAAGGGAAAGGAGTTATGGTAGAATCAGAAGCTATGGTCTTACAAGAGGACTCTACTAATGAAATAGAAAAAATAGAAGGAGCCTAAGCTAATTTGGAAATAAATAGAATTGATTATGGGAGAAAATTTAGGCCACCTTCTCATACAAGAATGTATCATTCTAGACCAACTCCTGTAGATATACAGTTCGAAGAAGATTTGATATCAAGTATTGTCTCTTACTCAGGAAGGTCAATTGTTAATTGGAATATTAATGGCATGTCAGATCATCAAATACAAGGTACTATGAAATACATAACCATGTATGCTACAACCTGTAAAATAGCTGGGAGCCATGATCAGGAAGTAGCTAAGGCTATTGTCTGTGGATTTACAGAATGGCTAAGAGGCTGGTGGGATTTTCATATGAATGAAACCGCTAAGCAACAAATTTTGAATGCTACAAGACAAAGGACGATAAAAAACGAATTCAATCAAGATATAATCCAAAGTGAAAGTGATGCGGTTAACACCCTCATTTATACAATAACACTCCATTTTGTTGAAAGTACTTCTTTCTCGAGAAGATAGTAGTACAGACCACTGGAAAGAAAAATTTATACGAAGCTTACCTCACCTTTTTGCCGAAAAGGTAAAAACTAGACTAAAAAATAAACATGGAGGAATAATCTCATATTCTATATATACTTTAGGAGAACTATCTGCTGAGATATGTTCAGAAGGACTTGCCCTTTGTACAGACCTAAAATTAAAACGATAACTCGATAAACAAAGGATGACGGGCAAAAGGAACTAAGAGATTTCTGTAAACAATTTGGATACAATACAATACCATTGTCTAATAAACCCCATAAAAGGATAAATATAAAAAACATAAGATTAATAGAAAGGAAAAATTTGCCCCAAAAAATAGTTTTAAAAGAGCTAAGGGGAAAAGAAAAATACCATGTTATAATTGTGGAAAAGTAGGACATTATTAAATGCAAAATAAAAAAGAAGATTAATACTTTGCAAATAGAAGATAATATCAAAAAACGATTATATCATATTTTACAAATAGATGAAGATTCTGAAAGTAGTACATCTAGTTCCACTTAACCTTTGGTTGGAGAAATAGAGGATGAAAGTTTAACTTTCAGCAGCTCAAAATCTGATAAAGATATGGATATAGAAAGTTGTTCTTGTCACACTCTTACTGAAGAAGATAATCTAATAATAGATTTAATAGATAAAATAATAGACCCAAAAGCAAAAAGAGAAGCTTTGACCCAATTCATACAAATAGCTAAAATTAGAAAGAAACCTTCGCCTCTTATAAAAACTCAAGAGGAATATAGTCTAGCAGAAATTTTAAAAAGAATTAATAAAAAAAGAAAATGTCAATAAAGAACCTTCTATGTCTGAATTAAAACATGAAATCATATAAGTCAAAGATGAATTAATAATCCTAAAAAATAGAATAAGTGTCTTAGAATTAACTTCAAACCTCCAAAACTCTCCTGAAGATATAGATGAGGAATTAGAATTTGATAAAATTATAAATAACTATAATACAAAGCCTTTATCCCCTATAGAAGATATACCATAATCTTCCAGCCAACCTACTAATCAGGTTAATTAGAGTAATAACACAAAAATGGTTTACTCTAGTAAAAATAATAATTAAAAAACGAATACAATTTTCAGTCCCTAGCACTAATAGATTCAGGAGCAGACCTTAACGGCATAAATGAAGGACTTGTTCCTACAAAGTATTTTAGTAAAACAAAACAAATTTTAAATACAACAGATGGGAGCAGATTAATAATAGACTATAAATTACCCAATGCGGCAATATGTAATAATGGAAATTGTTTTGAAATACCTTTTATCATGGTAAAAGGCCTGAGTCAAGCCGTAATACTTGGAACACCCTTTTTGAATCTGTTATATCCACTAAAAATTGATACTTCAGGAATTGAATCAAATATAGATGGACACAATATTAAATTTGAATTTATTGATACACCAGAAAAAAGAAATAAATAATGTCAAACAAACAATTGATAGCAAAGAAAAGTTTCAAAACTATTTAAAAGAAGAAATGAAATACAAATTAATAGATGAAAAGATTTCTCTCCCAAAAAATATAAAAGCTATTTCCGAAATTAAAAAGAAAATAGAAAACGAGATTTGTGCTGACTTACCAAATGCTTTTTGGAACAGAAAAAAGCACATTGTGAGTTTACCTTATGACGAAAATTTTAATGAAAATAATACACCCACCAAAGCTAGGCCCATTCAAATGAACCCTAAACTTCTTGAAATATGTAAAAAAGAGATTAATGAGTTGTTTCAGAAACAGCTAATCAAGAAAAGTTCGTCCCCATGGAGCAGCTCAGCTTTTTACGTCGAAAAGGCCTCAGAAAAGGAAAGAGGAGCACCCAGATTGCTAATAAATTATAAACCTCTGAATAAAATACTAAAATGGATAAGATATCCAATCCCAAATAAGAAAGATTTATTAGATAGACTTGTAAATGCCTGTATCTTCTCTAAATTTGATTCAAAATCAAGATATTGGCATATTCAAATAACTAAAAAAGATAGATATAAGACCGCTTTAATGCCCCATTTGGACAATATGAATAGAACGTAATGCCCTTTGAGCTTAAAACCTTCAGGATTCCAAAATATTATATATATATATATATATATATATATATATAGACTTGTCTACATATAGATCATTTATCTTTTGTACATGGAAGTCACGATCATTCTTGCCCCTTAAATTTCAAAATAGATGGTTGTAAGAGTGTTGTTGAATAGACACAAAGTTACAAAAGATAAAATTTGTAGATTTCGTGACCCCAAGCCATCCAATTTAACATCTAATGAGTGAGAATGATTGTAACCTAATGCTCGCTTTGTAGACAATCACATACATATACATATATCTGGGTGTGGTTTCTCAAGTTGCAACCTAAAACAATCCAATTAAAGTGCACCTCCAAATTATATCATAATATGTTGCTGTAAAAAAGCACTAGGATTATCTTAAAATCTATTCTCATATATTTTCATAGCTAATTATAAAATTTTAAACTCCAATTCTCATATATTTTCATAGCTAATTATAAAATTTTAAACTCCAAAAATGGTTAAAATCAAATAGATCTATAAACCTATGAAAATCTTGAAAATGGATGGTCTAGATAACGTGTTACAAGAAGCACCATTTTTGGTACTCAAAATCTTTTTTTTTTTTCTCATATTCATACATCTCGATATCAAGATGATCAATTAGAGCGTTTTTAACATCAAAAAAATATTTTCCAATGGATTGGTGTGGCGCATATGTAATTCTACATTTTAAGGTTTCAACCTTATATAAACTTTTTCCTGTATATATACGGATGCAGTTGGTCATACGGATACATCCGTAGCTGTAGAGGTAAGGTGCACTTCAATTTATTCATGGTATATAATTTGTATGTAAATAGTTCTTAAGTAATTA